CAAAACCAAAACCGTCCCATGTTGATATCAAAAATGGGCATCATAGGGGCTGGGGTAAGTGGATTAGCTGCTGCTAAACAGTTATCTCATCACAACCCTATTGTTTTTGAGGCCTCAGATTCCATTGGTGGGATTTGGAGTCATTGCTCCTACAACTCCACCAGACTACAGTCTCATCGTCGTGATTATGAATTCACCGATTTCCCTTGGCCTCAAAGGGACAACCCCGATTTTCCCACCCATTTGGAGATACTCAATTATCTGCACTCTTATGCTCACCACTTTGACGTTTTCAAAAACATCAGGTTCAACTCCAAGGTCGTCGAAATCCGCTTCTCCGGCAACCGCCAAGTCACTGGCTTTTCAAGCCTGCTTCCCGGTCAGTCTGTGTGGGAAGTTGCTGTGCAGACCAATAACTCAGACACCATTCAGGTCTGCACAAACTATTACCTTCTCAAATATCAAACACTTTGGTATCTATACATAACCTAGGGTTTCACAAATTTATGAGCATAGACTTTTTAAGTTATCATATTCTCCCACATACTTTTGATACTCTTCTAGAAATTGTCAAAAGTTTTAATATTTTAATTTAAAATATTTGAGAAAAAGAAAACACGTGATGATGAGTTTTCAAAATGAAGTGATTTATTGCATGAAGCTTCTGACCTATGAGTGACTCTTGTTTTAGCCGCTTATACATGATTGATTTCAGTGGTATGGATTCGAGTTTGTGGTAGTATGCGTTGGGAAATATGGGGACACACCGAAAATTCCAACGTTTCCACAGAAAAAAGGGCCACATATATTCAAGGGAAAGGTGATGCATACGTTAGATTACTGTAAACTTGACCAGGAAGCTGCTACTCAACTTCTGAGAGGGAAAAAGGTGGTGGTGGTTGGTTTCAAAAAGTCAGGTATTGATTTAGCCATGGAGTGTGCACGGGCAAACCAAGGTAATAATAATCCCAGCTTTCTATATAAATCCCCTTTGGAAAAACCTTCATTTAGTAATAAAAAAAGAAGAAGAAAAAGTTAAATTGTTTTGTACAAGTAAAGTTATAAAATATATATTTCTATTTTAAGTACATCTAAAGAAAAAAATCAAATAAAAACAAAAACAATTTTTTTATTCGTTATTAATTTATGTACAGGTTAAGCTCTTATAAGCTAGTTTTCATTAACTATTTAAAATGTAGTTTTTAATGCACACAAACTATTTAACTTATGTAAAAATTACATTTATTTTTCTTCTTGTTTTACAGATGTTTACCAAGAAACTTTCTCCAAATTGACACTATGAATTCACACCGCATCAATATGTAAAATATACTACTTTTATCATATTAAACCTTTTTTTATTAGTAAATAGTAAAAATACATGCATTATATGTGTATTCAATTTTCTTTATGATAAAAATTCATAAATTATTATTTTTTTTATTATTATAATTATAAAGTTAAACATAAATATTTTTTATAACTTTATTGTAAATAATTTTCATTTATTTTGTATTTAATTTTTTAATTAAAAATTTTTTTAATTAAAAACAATGATCATCTAAAAAATAAAATTGATGAAATAATTATTTTAATTTAAGAAAAACTTTAATTTAAAGGTAAAATTGAAAAAGAAATCTTTTATATAAAGGTGTAAATAATAACGGCTGATAATTTATGAGTTTTATGAAAAACAAATCATACTGGTTTGTAATTTATTGCTAAATATCATCTCTAAACATGGGAAGCATTAACTGCTCTTTTATAATTTATCGCTTTAGTTATACGCCTAGAGTGACTCGGAATAAAATTTAATTCAAATAGTTGGTGTTTTAAAAATTCTGTTCAAACATTTCATAGAGGATGCACAAATAACACCACTTGAACGCATGTAAAATATTAGATGTTATATAGCAATATTTTTGTGAAACGATTTGTGAAGTAAAAGTGAAAATTATTATGTTTTATTAGTTATTTGTTGTTTAAATAGTTGTTCCTCTCAAATTATTATTATATGTTAAAAAACAATTGTAATAAAAAATATATATATATAAATATATTCTCTAAACTATTATAAAAATTTAAACTTAATTTTTAAATTAAATTAAAAAGTATTTTCTCCATGTATGAAGTTACGTGGAAAACATCTTTACTAATACAAAATACTTTATAATTTAATTTAAAGATAAACATGCTAGTTTAATAACGAAAAAACGTAGTTATTTTAATAAAAATATTTATACTATAAAAAAATATGATATTTGGTAACCTATCATGACTCTTTTCAAAAGGAAAAATATATAAAAAGAATTAACTGATGACTAATAATGTGAAAGCTGGTTTGTATGCATATGACTCGATTTTCTTTCAAATTTCTTCTGCTGTTCTTCCAAGTTTTTCTTTTTCAGTTTGGGTTGTCACAAAGGTGGCGTTCAATAGCTTCAATTGAACACGTTGTTTTCTGTCGCTATGATGCATGTGCTGTGGAAAATAACGACATTGTTTTTCTATTGAAGCTCGTTTTCATATTGGCACTATTACGTTTTGTTTTCCTTTCTGTTTTGTTTTGTTTCACAATGTCATTTTCAGTTCTTGTGCTTATAAAGCACCAAAGACGACAACATTGATTTTCCAAATGATTTTCTGGTTGTATATAATTTATTGGTTTTTTTAATGTTAAAAGCAAGTAAGGGCTTTATTTTCCTAGTTGATATTTATTTGCATGCTTTTGGTTGCACACTACTGTTCCTTTTATTTTATGAATGAAAGATGTGTTGACTTGCATACTGTTCTTTTCATTTTATTAGTATAATATCTTATGTGAAGCTTTATATGAAACGAATTCATAGGCCATAAGTCATATAAAATAGAATTCCACAAATCAGTTTTGACTTTCACAATATGTTTGGAAATGGCTTTAAACGACGGGGTCCAACCTTCATCTTCACCCATAGACATCGATACCACGTGCGACAGTCTTGTATCATCATCGTATGAAAAGTCCACTAAAATTTCAACACCTCATGCCATCCACCAACTTCAATAAATAATGAAAATTCTTTTGACATCAAGATGTTACCAAGCAAAACGGAAATTACTTTTTGAGAAATTTTTTAATAAAATTTAAGTTGTCAAACTTTAAAAATAAATAAATATAATATTTTTAACTTAATGATATTAATTTTATTAAAGGATATTTTAGATTCATATTTATTATTTTATAAACAACTTAAAAATAAGTTTGATATGTCAAAAAATTAAATACAATTAAATTTAAAAAACATTTATTTATTTTTAAAGTTTGAAAATCAAAATATAAAACAAATGGATTTTGAAATTTAAGACAAACGAATTTCAATCTTTGAGACATAAACAAATTTCAAAATTTAATACTTTAAATATATTTAACCTTTTTTTTTTACTTACATTAAATGTTTATATTCTGTTTGCTTATAATAATTAATTAAGATAATCTCTATTTTTTTTTTTTGTTAAATTTCAAAATGCATAACAAAGTTGTTGGTGTATTGCTGTGAAGGAGCTGAAGGAGAAGCCTGCACCATGGTTGTAAGGACTTTGCATTGGACAGTTCCCCATTACTGGATTTGGGGATTGCCTTTTTTCATGTTCTTCTCAACAAGATCTTCTCAGTTCATTCACGAGAGACCAGAACAAGGCTTACTCAGGACTCTTCTCTGCCTCATGTTATCTCCGCTGGTAAATTACCATTTTCCAGAATCACATAGCTACATAGCTAGTGTTATGGTTTCTACAGGCATAGCTAATGTTTTTTATTTTTGGTTATGTTATTCAATGAGCAATAATAGAGGCGTGGAATTTCAAAGTTTATTGAGTCGTACCTTCTGTGGAAACTTCCATTGGAGAAGTATGGATTAAAACCAGAACACCCCTTTGTGGAGGATTATGCATCTTGTCAAATGGCCATCATGCCAGAAAATTTCTTCTCCGAGGCTGAAAAGGGCAAAATTGTCTTTAAGAAGGCATCAAAGTGGTGGTTCTGGAATGGAGGGATTGAATTTGAAGACAACACTAAGCTGAACGCTGATGTAGTGATTCTTGCAACTGGTTTTGATGGAAAGAAAAAACTCAAAACTATTTTACCAGAGCCTTTTAGTAGCTTGTTGGAGTACTCTTCTGGTATTATGCCTTTATATAGGTAAGAAGAACTCTTCAATATTCATGGTGCTTTCTTTCATGCAAAATATACATCAGGAGAATGTATTCAACTCTTTTAGACATACCCTTTATTTAAACTGAAATTTTTTTAAAATTAAAAAAATTTGTAAGTAACAGCTGATTCATGCTCATGATGATAGGGGAACTATTCATCCGTTGATTCCAAACATGGCCTTTGTGGGTTTCGTTGAGAGTGTTTCAAATCTTCACTCATCAGAGCTACGTTCCATGTGGCTTTCTGGGCTGGTAGATGACAAATTCAAGCTCCCAAGTGTGGAGAGCATGCTTTCACAAACAGAAAAGGAGATAGAAGTGATGAAAAGGTCAACTCGGTTCTATAAGAGGCACTGCATTTCAACTTATAGCATCAACCACAGTGATGAAATTTGTAAAGATTTAGGGTGGAGTTCCTGGAGGAAGAAGAATTGGTTATCCGAAGTATTTGGCCCCTACAGCATTCCAGACTATGCCAAGGAAGATTGAATATACAAGCTTACAACCACTCCCTCAGTGACTGATAAAAATACTGGTAGAATAATAGTAATAATGATGATGATAAAAATAACTACATGTTCTCTAAGAAAGAAAAATTTAAGGCTAAGTCGAGAGCCAAATGTCGTTTAGATACTTAAGAGTCATGTTCCATGAATGCAGTCAAAACTCCTTCAAGGTTACACAAGCAACTTTGTTCACATAAAACATATGTATTGCTGAACGGAAACTTGTTTGAAATAACAAATTCAAATTATATAGAACTTGTAGTGGATGGTCACTTTGTCAATTGAAAGTAAACATACCATGTGGAAAAGATACATATATAATCTCACTGTATTTTTGGCAAATGAAGGCATTATTTCCACCGGAGAGGTTATAATCTTTTTCTCTCTACATGTCATCACCTCCAAGAAATGTGATCAAAGGCTCCAAAATCAGCTACATAATTACAGAGCTTACAAACTTAAAATTCACAGTTAAATATTTGCCAGACTCTGAATCAGGCCCGCGGGGATAGAAAACAAAAGAATAAAAAAAGCCTCAAAGGCTCTGAAGTATTTTCAGGGTCTCATCAATATGCTTTTCTGGTTGGAATTGATTGTTGTAGACAAGCTGAACCACCCCATTTTTGTCAATCACATAAGTCTCTCTTCCAGGCAATGATCCAAAGAAATCACCTGGCACTCCCCATTCCTTTCTCACCTTGTTGCCCTCATCACTCAACAATGTAAATGGAAGTTTGTATTTGCTGGCAAATGCCTACATTACGTGAAACGCAAATCAGAAAAAATATTAATATGGTTGATTATAAAAATGAAACAGTGGAACCTTTGATCTTTACCTTGTGCGAGGAAGCATCATCGCCACTTATCCCAACAACCACTGCTCCTGCTTTCTTGAACTTCTCATACGAATCCCTGAAAGCACAAGCCTGCAATAAAGAATAAATCACTCCCTCCAATCCGTATTATAAGACATTTGACAAAACAAGTTCATGGTCATTTTTATGAGACCTTTTAGAATTGGTATGCAACTTTAAATTTTATTTCTTTGTTTGTTACTTCTAGTATTACAAGTATTTACGTTTTGTATTAATATGTTGTGACTAAAACCCAATAACTAAGCGTCAGAAAGCATACATCAAGAACCTTATAGCAGTAGATTTTGAACCTCAATGAATAGGGATACAAAGTACTCAATCATCAGAAATCCGTTAGAGGCAGCGAATCTGGTTGATTTGCCCAAAGGAGTTATTTTCTACGCTATCTTACATGCGAAAACTAAGATAACCAAATCAAGAATAGTATGGATAAACCTAACAGGGGTTGAAGTGCTCTCTATTTTTCATTACCCTCCATTTGTAGCATGCATATACAATACCGGAGTTCAACTCATGAGAACAACCAGAATCCTTCTCTGTCCTTCCTTTTCAAAAGAACAAAAAGACCTTCCTATATATCAAAATCTCAGCAAATGAAGTCTGAAAGATGTTGAACAGTTTATTCCCTTTTGTTCATTCAAATGCTCCATATATAGTGCACCATACATTCACTATTCACTGTTGAAATATGTGAACTTGGAAAACGTTTAAGAAGCACACAACTTTAAAAACTTGGCATCTCCATTTTGAACTATTCCTACATGGACATTGTGTGAATTTACCTGTTTGGTACAGCCAGGGGTCTCATCAGCAGGGTAGAAATATACAACTACTGGCTTTCCCTTGAAGCTGGAGAGGCTCACATTCTTTCCATTCTGATCTTTCAGTGTGAAATTCGGTGGCTTAGAACCTTTACTCACCTATAAAGGAATATACAACACAAAAAAAGAGAAGAGACGCTGGTGGGTCTAAGTAAGAACTAAAAGGCTAAGTTATTAGGAACATGCAAAAAGGTGATGATGAGTGAAATGTACCTTGGCGAAAATGGAGGTTCTGAGGGAAGAAGAAGAGGGGATTGAGGAAGAAGGAGAATGAGAGAACTTGAGACCGAAAAATTGAGAATTTGAAGGCGTGGAAGAGAGTGGGAGGTTTTGGGAAGATGGGTAGTTGGAAGAATGAGAGCGAAGCAAGGTGGGAAGATAGTGATTAGGGAGAGAGAGGGAAGCCATTGGTGAGGAACAGTGCGAAGAAGGAAATGGCAAGTGAAAGATTGTTTTTGGTGTGAGGATAGAGAGAGACGAGAAAGATAAGGAAAAGCGTTAATGGCTGGTGGATGGTTATTGGTGATGATAGAAGATTAGCTTTGTGGCGTGGACGAATTCTGACCCCAACACCGCTGTACTTTTTAGTTTTAACCTTAACCGTCGCAGGATCTTCAAATTTTAGATAAATTAAGCATTTATATTTAAGTATATTATAGTTTACATTTAAATTACTTTATCATGAATATTTTACTAAATAAATATGTTTGACAAAATTAAAATAACTTTTGTGTGGTTAATATATTTTAGTTACTTATAAAATTATTTAAATTAATTTAATTTTTTAAATTGTCTAAAATAATTTTAGACAACTAATTTACTTTTTTATTGTTTAATACGAATTATTCAATATTTTATTTCTAAAAAAATTAAACAACATCATATTCAATATATAATGTATATAATGTAAATTATATAATAACTATAACACATTTTTTATATAAATATTAGAAAAATTAATTAAATATAGAAAAGTATTGAAACACCAATACTAAATGCCGTCTATCATAATTAAATATTATTAAAGTATTATATCAAGTCAACTTTGACCTTTATATACAGATATTAACTTTCAAAATAGATATGTTTACTAAATAAGTATGGTAGTCAATTAAAATGATAAAAAAAACTTTTATATACATATTTTTTATTTTGATAATAAATTACGTTAATTTAAAATTATATTCTATATTATAAATATTTGGTCCTTTATAAAATTATTATATAATTTTGGTCGTCTATATCTATAAATAATAAAATTGAAGTAACATAAATTTTTCTGTAAATAATATAATTTGAAAGAGTATAACTGAGAACTTTTGTCACATATTATAACCAGGAAAAATGAACAAAAATATAAAATCAAAAACAAAATCCAAACTTTGTAAAATAAAAGATATATGTAATTTAATATATATA